AACAAAACATTATGAGATCCCTGAGAAGAATACTTGTATTTCTCTCACATTTTCTGTACTCTTTGAGTTTTTCTGCAACAGTTTAAAAAAGATATTGAGGGGATAATGTGGCAGAAACTTTATGTTAGAATCTTGAAACTGCCACAGAGCACAGAAATTGCATTTTGCCTCTTTCTTCTCCAATAATGTGATTTTAAAAAGTACTTACCTGAGAGGGCTGTTTTGAGAGTTAAATGGGGAATAAAATGATCAAATAACAAGAGTTTGTTTTAAAGTACTGAATTTTAAAATATTACTAAGATAATAATGGCCAGAATTTTAGGAAACTAGGATCAAGTATCTAAAAAAGAAAAAATTCAAACATAATTGTTATTACCACAAACTGTGTTTTCTGGGAAACCCCAAAATTGTAAACAAAATGAGCAAACGAGCATAACTTAAAAAGAATTCCTCAGGCTTTTTTTCCCATTCACATACTGATGAGCTCTGACTTAGAGCTTACAAATCTTGCTTAATGTAAATCACATTGCAATAAAGGGTGTTACCAAACAGCACTTTGGGTTCTGCTGCCCAGTGCCACTCTCCAGGAAAAAAAATTTCAGAGGTAAAGGCCTGTTTTCAAAAGTAGACATTGAAATCTATCAAGTCACTGCTTTAATCACTTAAGCCCGTCAATTAAGGCTATACTCTAACACCTAAGTTGTCCCATCTTTCCCCCATTCATTTCTATTTCATTTTATTGTTGTTCATGTACAGTATTCTGCTTTTCCCTCCACCCCTCCCCACCATTCAGGCCCACTCTACCTCCTTCCCCTGTTTCCACCCCTCCTTGTTATTGTCCATGTGTGTTTATAATTGTTCCTATAAACCCTTCACGCTCTTCCCCCATTATCCCATCTTCTCCCTCCTCTGCTCACTGTCAGCCTGTTTTCAATTTCAAGGTCTTTGGTTATATGTTGCTTACTTGTTCATTTTGTTGATTAGGTTCCAGTTAAAAGTGAGATCATACAGTATTTGTCTTTCACTGCCTGGTTTATTTCACTTAGCATTGACACGTTAGCAAAGGGTAGGAGCTCCTTTCTTTCTGCTGTGCAGAATTTCATTGTATAAATGTACCATTGTTTTTTTAGCTATTCATTTACTGATGGGAACTTGGGTTGCTTTCAGCACTTCACTATTGTAAATTGTGCTGCTATGAACACTGGGTGCACAGGTTCTTTTGGATTGGTGTTTCAGGTTTCTTAGGATATAACCCTAACAGTGAAATTACTGAATCGAAAGGCAGATTTATTTTTAGTTTTCTGAGGAAATTCCATACTGTTTTCCACAGTATTTGTGCCAGTCTGCATTCCCACCAACAGTTCACTAGGATTCCCTTTTTTCCACAACCTCCCCAACACTTGTTGTTTGTTGTTTTGCTTGCCATGGCCATTTTCGCTGGTGTGAAGTGGTATCTCATTGTGGTTTTAATTTGCATCTCTCTGATGGCTAGTAATACTGAGTAACTTTTCACAAGTCTCTAGACCCTCTGGATGTTCTCCTTGGAGAAATATCTGTTCAAGCCCTTTGCCCATTTTTTTAATTGGGTTACTTGTCTTCTTAGAGTGGAGTCACATGAGTTCTTTATATATTTTGGAGATTAAACTCTTGTCTGAGGTATCATTGGCAAATATGTTTTCCTGTATGGTTGGTTCTCTTTTCACTTTAATGCTGTTTTTCCTAGCTGTGCAGAAGCTTTTTATTTTCATGAAATACCATTTGTTTGTTTTTTCCTTTATGTCCCTTTTTCTAGGGGACAAATCAGTGAAACTACTCATCTGTGAAATATCTGAGATTTTCCTGCCTATGTTCTCCTCTAGGACTTTTATGGTTTCATGACTTACATTTAAATCTTTTATCCACCTTGAATTTATTTTTGTGTATGGTGTAAGTTGGTGATCAGTGTCTTTTTTGTTTGTTTGTTTGCATGTAGGTGTTCACCTCTCCCAACACCATTTGTTGAAGAGGCTGTTTTTGCTCCATCTTATGCTGCTGCCCTCCTTGTCTAATATTAATCAACCATAGAGTCTTGGGTTTATTTCTGGGTTCTCAGTTCTGTTCCATTGGTCCATGTGTCTGTTCTTATGCCAGTACCAGGCTCTTCTGATTATACTGGCCTTGTAATTCAGTTTGATATCAGGTGTTTTGATCCCTCCTACTTTGCTCTTCTTTCTCAAAATTGCTGTAGCTATTTAGGTACATTTATGGTTCCATATAAATTTTTGAAGTGTTTGTTCTATATCTGTAAAATATGTTATTGGTATTCTAATAGGTATTGCATTGAATCCATAAATTGCTTTGGGTAGTATGGACATTTTGATGATGTTAATTATTCTGATCCATGAACACAGTATATGCTTCCATTTGTTTGTGTCTTCCTTGATATCTTTGTTCGGGGCTGTGTAATTTTATGAGTATAGGTCTTTTACCTTCTTGGTTAGGTTTATTCCTAGGTATTTTATTTTTCTTGTTGCTACATATATGAGATTTTTTTCCTGATTTATCTATCTTTCATTGTTGGTATACAAAAATGCCTTTGATTTCTGAATATTGACTTTGTATCCTGTTGTTTTGCCAAATTCATTTATTAGGCTGACCAGGTTTTTTTTTGTGAAGTCTATAGAATTTTCTATGTACACTCTCATGCCATCTGCAAACAATGACAGTTTTTTTCTTCCTTTCCAATTTGCCTGCTTTTTATTTCATTTTCTTTTCTGATTGCTATGGCTAGGATTTCCAATATTATGTTGAAAAGAAGTGGTGAAAGTGAACAACCTTGTCTCGTTCCTGATCTTAGTGGGAAAAATTTTAGTTTTTGCCTGTTAAGTATAATGTTGGCTGTAGGTCTCTTGTATATGGCCTTTTATTATGTTAAGAAATACTCCCATTTCCACTTTGCTGATTTTTTATGATAAATATGTGCTATAACATAGCAAATATTTTTCCATATCTATTTATATGACCATGTGATTTAGGTCTTTGCTTTCCTTTATGTGATGTATTACATTTATTGATTTCTGAATATTGTACCATCCTTGCATCCCTAGGATGGATCCAACTTGGTCATGGTGTATGATGTTTTTAATGTATTGCTGACTGTGTTTTGCCAATATTTTGTTGAGAAATTCAGCATCTATGCTCATCAGAGATATTGGCCTGAACTTTTCTTTTTTTGTTGTATCTTTATCTAGTTTTGGGATTAGGATGATGCTGGCTTCAAAAAGAGTTTGGAAGTCTTCTGTCTTCTTGGATTTTTTGTAATAGTCTGTGAAGGATGGGGGTGAGCTCTTCCTTAAATGCTTTGTAGAATTCTTCTGTGAAACCATCTAGTCCAGGACTTTTGTGTGTTGGGAATTTTTTGATTACTGCTTCAATTTTGTCAGCTGTTATTGGTCTGTTCAGGCTTTCTGCTTCTTCATCATGAAGTTTGGAAGATTATATTTTTCTAGAAATTTGTCCCTTTCCCCTAGGTTTTCAAATTTCTTGGCATATAGTTCTTCATAGTAATTTCTTACAATCCTTTGTATTTCTGTGGTATCAGTTGTAATCTCTCCTTTTTCATTTCTGATTGTGTTTGTTTGGCTCCTCTCTATTTTTTTTCTTGATGAGTCTGCTTAAAGGTTTGTTTATTTTGTTTATCTTTTCAAAAAACAAGCTCCTGGATTTACTGATCCTTAGAATTGTGCTTTTCACCTCTTTGTTTTTTAATTGTGTTCCAATCTTGGTTATTTCCTTCCTTCTACTTGCTCTGGGCTGTCTTTGTGTTGTCCTTTGAGTTCCTGAAAGTGTATGGTTACATCATTTATTTGAAATGTTTCTATGTTTTTTAGGTAGGCCTGTATTGGTAAAATAAAAGTGGTAAAAATAATGAAAAAATAATACACATAAAGAATAAAATGACAGCTCTTTGAGATAGCAAAGTGACATTTGTCTCAGTTTCTCAGTTTTTGGGAAGAGCCTTGTGCTTTCCCTTTTGATCTTTCTCTGGATCCTTCAGAACTCCATGTCTTATTGTCTCACTTGGGGAAACAAAAACAAAAAAGAAAAGAAAAAAGAGAGAAACAAAAAAAAAGAAAAAATTTAATTAGCCTCCTGTTGACTCTAAACCTGTTCAGTGAGTTCTGCTGGTCTTCCTAGATGCCACAGGTAGAGGGAGGTTGGGCTTTGCTTTTCTCCCTAACTATGGTTTTGAGAGGATGGAAACCAGGTCTGGGCTGCAATATCCACAGTTTCCTGGCCCCTGGCCCAGGTCCTCCATGAGCTGCTATGCTCAAATCAGCCACTCAGTCTCTGAGCACACAGCATGAGTCAATCTTGGGCATGCTGTTTCACTCAGCCACTCAGTCTTGGAGATGCAGCTGCAATCATGCAGCTTCTCAGCGTGAGCTCAAATCAGCCCCAGGGCAAGCCAGCCACTGCTTGAAAGTTCCTTACAAAGCACTTGCCAACTGTTCTTTGTTGTAGGCAACAGATGGGTCGATACACGCTCTCGGAGACGAAAATTGGTTTCAAAGAATTTTAGTTTTATTAATCACAAAATAATGGTCCAAATATGAATTTAGTGGCCAAGCTTTACCTGCGCAGGGGCGAACTTCCCCAACTGTGACCGGAGCCACGTAGCTACTCAGAGCTACCAGATGGAAGTCGCGCGTGGCTTACAGACTATGGGGTTTTTATAGGGCAGAGCAAGCAAGCGCGGGCTTACAGAAGCAGATGTGGCAGTTAGCTATTAGCTAGGTTGCTAAGCTGAAAACGGCGAAGGTCCCTAATAGGTGGGTGCGGCTGTGGCGGGCCTCTTCCGGCAGGCCCTGGTTAGTTACCTTATTTGGCTAGAATTTTGAACCCAACCGTTCCCGGATGTTTATTCATTACCCAGTCTCAGGAACTGCAGATGCCTAACAGCTGTCTGTATGTTTCCACTACTAATGGCCATTACATTCCCCCCTCCAGTTAGGTAGCAGTTAAACCATTGACTGCCAGTCATCTTGAGGCAGGATGGTATATGGTTGGGACAATACCATAAGCTTGATGGCATCAATCCTGTCCCTGATGAATGCAAAAATCTTATTCAAGATCCAGGGTCCTGCAGTCAGGGCAAGCAATAGGATAAGTATAGGGCCAACTAATGCGGAAATAAGCGTGGTCAGCCAAGGGGAAGCTTTAAACAGAGAAGCATACCACGAAGAGGTCTCTTCCTCTTGTTCTCTTTCTTTTAGTCTCTTGGTTAGCATCTTTATGCTTTCTCTGATTACCCCTGAATGGTTAGCATAAAAACAGCATTCTTCCCCTAAGGCTGCACATAGTCCTCCTTGTTGAAGAAACACAAGATCAAGCCCCCTTCGGTTCTGAAGTGCTACCTCAGCTAAGGAGTCTGCTTGGCGTTCTAGGTACATTACTTGTTCCTGGAGCAGGGAGACGTCTTTAGAGAATGTCTGTGATAACTGTCTAAGGCTATTCTCCCCATGGATTAGTGCCCCCGCTCCAACAGCTGCTGATCCAATTATACCAATAGTGGCAGCTGTGGGTATGAGCAATGGAGTCCGCTTGACTCTGGAAGGGGGTCGTAGCACAAAGTTTGGATCCCCTCCATACAGGTATACTTGGGGAATAATATATGCACTAACACAAAGTTCTGGGTTAGTAGGAACTAGACATTTAAAAATACCTTGGGTACATATAAACCATAGCCCTTCTGGGGCTCTTGTTACAGTCAGTGTTCCTGGGGTCTTCGGTATGTATACTAGGTTGAGACAGTAATCTGCATAATTCGAATTGTTGAGGGTGAAATTAGCTAACAAGTAACAGGTTCCCTGTCCATGAAACTCTGCTAAGGTGATGGTACCTTCAAACTCACATTGTTCAAGACCTTCCACCTGTCTTTTCCCTTGGGGAAGTTGCATTGTGATGGGAGTGTTATTTCCCCCTGCGGAGGAGTTAACCCCCAGGCCAATATAGAATGGGGGCCTTGGGCTAAGGCATAACCAACAGGACTTAGTAATGTTTGGCATGGTATAGTTAAAATATGGAAACACTTGTTCTAAGAGGCTTAGGGCCGACTCTCCTTGATGATGAGGCCTACCTACCAAGGGTGGTGGGCTACGGAGGGGTGGCCTTGGTTTTTCTTCTGATGCTGGGGTTTCAGTTGTCCTGGGAGGGGGTCCGGTTCCCTTTAGGTCAGGAGAACGCGTAGCTGCTAGGCCTGCAGTTGGGTTGGGTGGGCAAGGTGGCAACCTGCCCGCCGCTCCTCTTAGGAGGGGTCTTCCCCTGGTGGGCAATCTCTTTACAGTGAAGAAGGTTCCTGGGTCTCTCCCTGCGACATACAGGCGGATGCCCCAGGTTTGCCCTTTTACCCACTCGGGGTCTATAGGGTTTAAAACAGTTATGACAGTTGGGTTACAATTGTTTGTGGCGCAGTTCTGATCCCATCTGCCTGCAGGTTTTCGTCTCTTATCCCTTAAGAGGGTAATAGCTTTATCCTTCCCCCCTCCGGGACTCCACCCCCCATTGCTGAGAGTCTCACAACCCCATGCTTTACAGTAGAAATCTCCATGGGACCCACAGGTTCTCCTCCTTCCTACTGGGGGTTCTGGACACCCGTAAAACGGGGTCTGAAAAAGGGCTTTATTCTTTGTATTTGAGTCACAGTTGGTAACGGCTCCCATTGCATATCCTGTTTCATCTCCTAGTCGCCCCCAATCAGTGTGTCTCCAAGCAGCAGGGGAGTCACAGAAATGGTTATCGAAAAACTTGGAGAAGTCTGCATGTAGAGTCACTGGGCCTGTATCCCAAGTAAAATTAGTGGCAATGACTGTGCCGTCTGCTGTCCTTATGAGTACCCACTCCTGCTGTTCTAGGCCTTGGCTTAGAGCTTTCCCGTGGTTCATGGACAGAGTTACTATAATCAGGAACAACCTTACTGTTTCAGGAACTTTAGGCTCAGCGGTCGCTCGGGATCTCTGCTGACTCGCCATGTGCCTCGATGTTCCCTAGGAGGTCGAGCTGGCTTTGTGTGTGATAGATGAATCCAGTAGGGTTTTTCTGCGACTCGCACTGCAGAGAGGGTGCTGAGCAGGACCTGGAAGGGGCCGACCCACCGTGGCTCCAGGTTTCCTCGCCGGTGGTTGAGGATCCACACCCACTGGCCTGGTTCAGGAGGAGTAGGCCACTGGGTCGTTTCAGCTGGGGGCTGATGTCGTAGGACTCGTATCTCCTGTCGCACCTGCTGCAAGGCCTGGAGGGACTTAAGGAAGTTATAATTTGTGCTGGCTATTTCTTCACTGGAAAGTTTGGGAATAATGGGGACAGGTTGCCCAAACATGATTTCATATGGGGTCCAAGACCCCACGTAAGGGGTACACCTTACCCGGAATAAGGCAAAAGGAAGAAGCTCGACCCAGTTTTCGCCAGTCTCTTCTTTTAATTTAATAATAGTCTCTTTTAGAGTTCTGTTCATTCTTTCTACTTGTCCTGAACTCTGGGGTCTATAAATACAATGGAGCTTCCATTCAATCAGTAATTTGCTGGCCAATTCTTGGGAGACCTTTGAGACAAAGGCCGGGCCATTATCTGAGTCAATAGCTAATGGAAGCCCATATCTGGGGATAATTTCTCTTAGGAGTAGTTTGCATACAACGGAAGCGGTCTCCCCCTTAGTGGGGAAGGCCTCAGTCCAACCTGAGTAAGTGTCTACTAACACTAAGAGATACTTATACCCAGATTTTCCTGGTCCCATTTCGGTGAAATCTACTTCCCATAACTCACCTGGACTCTTACCTCGGTACCTTACCAGGGGAGGATACTTCTTATTCTGGGCATTTACCTTAGCGCATGTCTGACATCTAGTGGTTATTGACTGAACTGTATCTCTTAACTTTGACCCTGCATAATACTTCTTTACTAACTGTTCTAGTCTGGTCTGGCCGAGGTGGGTGCTTGCATGCAACTCTTGGGCTATTGTTCTTAAGACCCCTTGGGGAAGGAAGATCTTGGAGTCAGGTAACACAATTTGCCCTTTAGAGTTCTTAACTCCCCCTGCTTTTAGACCAACTTGCTCTTCTTCAGGGGTGTAGATAAGTTTTGGGGGGATTTCGAGGCGTGGAATGAGTGGAAGAACAACTACTTCTCCGTCAGCAGCTTTCCGAGCAGCAGCGTCAGCCAAATCGTTTCCCCTGATGATGGGTGACTCACCTTTCTGATGCCCTCGGCAATGTATTATGGCTACCTTAGCGGGGAGCCATATAGCTTCCAAGAGGGCCAGGATCTCTTCCTTGTTCTTAACTTCCTTCCCACCGGCAGTGAGGAGGCCACGCTCTTTGTAGATGGCTCCGTGGATGTGAGCGGTGGCGAAAGCATACCTGCTGTCGGTGTAGATATTAGTGGTCTTACCTTCTGCTAGACGCAGAGCCTGGGTTAGGCCAATCAGTTCAGCTCGCTGGGCTGAAGTTCCAGCTGGCAACGCCTTCTGCCAGATCACCTTCGTCTCAGTGGTGACTGCCGCCCCTGCTAGTCGCCGCCCTTCCCGCATGAAGCGGCTTCCATCAGTAAAAAGAACTAAATCAGGCTTGTCATAGGCCTGGTCCCGTAAATCGGGTCGGGAACTAATGATAGAGTCTAATACCCATGTGCAGTTATGGGTTATAGCCGCGTCTGGTAAGGGCAACAAGGTCGCAGGGTTCAGGGTGGTTGTTTTGACAAACTGCACAGCTGGAGGATTTAGGAGCTGAGCTTGATACTGAGTCAGTCAGGCATTCGAAAGCCATGTGTCTGGGGGTGCCCGTAAGACCTGCTCTAGATAGTGCTCTCCGATTACCTGAATGTCTTGGCCTAAGGTGAGCTTGCTTGCTTCTTTGACTAACACAGAGGTGGCCGCTAAGGCCCTCAGGCATGCTGGCCAGCCAGAAGCTACAGGGTCAAGTCTCCTTGATAGGTAGGCTACAGGTCTTCTCCATGGACCGAGCTCTTGGCACAGCACCCCTAATGCAGTTCCTTCTTTCTCGGCTATGAATAGTTGAAATGGCTTAGATAGGTCCGGCAGAGCTAGTGCCGGGGCTGCAACGAGGGCCTCCTTCAGGGCCTGGAAGGCCCTTCTTGCCTCGCTAGTCCATTCAAACTTTTCTTCCTTTCCCCGGGTTAGCTGGTGCAGTGGTCGGGCCAACTCTGCAAAACCTAGGATCCAAAGCCGACAGTATCCTACTGCTCCGAGAAACTCCCGTACCTGTCTCTGGGTGGTAGGTTCTGGGATTTGTAGGACTGTTTGAATCCTCTGATTGGATAAGGTTCTTTGCCCATTCTGCAGGCTATACCCCAGATAACTTACAGTTTGAGTCACAATCTGGGCTTTCTTGGCCGACACGCGGTATCCCATCTTCTCTAGGTCTCGGAGTAGGTCCTTAGTAGCAGCCTCGCACCTCTCCGCACTCCTCTCCGCAATGAGGATGTCCTCCACATACTGCAGGAGTACTGTCGTGGGGTGGGAGATGCGGAAAGCCTGCAAGTCCTTACCTAGGGCCTCACTGAAAATGGTAGGTGAGTTCTTAAATCCTTGTGGTAGACGCGTCCAGGTGTACTGGCCTACTAATCCATTTTCAGGATCATTCCACTCGAAAGCAAAGATCTCTTGGCTTTGGCGGGCTAGCGGTATGCAAAAGAAGGCGTCCTTTAAATCTAGTACTGAGTAATGAGTATGAGTCGAGGGCAAAGAACTCAGCAGGGTATATGGGTTGGGCACAGTGGGATGTATAGTCTCTACCCGCATATTTACTTCCCTCAGATCTTGAACTGGCCGGTAATCCGCCGTCCCGGGCTTTTGTACTGGTAACAAGGGAGTATTCCAGGCTGACTGACACTCCCATAGAATACCTGCTTTTAGAAGTCGCTTAAGGTGTTGGGCGATCCCCTGCCGTGCTCGGCTGGGTACTGGGTACTGTCTCACCCGAATAGGGCTGGCAGTGCTTTTCAGCTGGACTAGCACTGGAGGTTGGTGGAGTGCTAGGCCTGGTGGATTAGTCTCTGCCCAGACCCCGGGAATCTCAGAGAGGAGGGTTTCTGGTACTCCTTTCTCCTCCTTACCTTCCTGGAGGGTTGCCAGCAGGTATTCTTCTGAGAGTGGCACAGTTACCTCTACCCGGGCAGGTCCTGGAGCATTGGTCCCTGGTGCCTCAGTCTGTTTGAAAGTGATTGTGGCCTGAAGTTTCTGCAATAAATCTCTCCTGAGCAGTGGGTAGGGACAATCCGGAACCACTAGGAACGAATGGGTTATGGTGCCCAGCCCCAAGTCTGTGACCCTTGCAGTAGTCCATGGGTAAGATTCCTCTCTGCCTGTAGCCCCTATGATCTTGGTAGTTGTCTTTTGTGCCTTTCCTTGCGGTTGCTTTAAGACTGAAAAAGTGGCCCCCGTGTCTACTAAGAAATTTATTGGCTGCCCTTCGACGCTCAGAGTGACCATGGGGTCCTGGGGGCCAACTGGTATAGAGCCCCGGCCCCGTCAGTCTAGAGTCTGAAGCAGGACGGGGGTCCTTTCCTCTAACCCGGGTGGCCTGGCTCTGTGTTTAGGGCAATCTCATTTCCAATGTCCTATTTCCTTGCAGTAGGCACATTGATCTTTGTTTAAGGGAGCCCGCCATTGCTGGGCTCCATCCCTACCTTTCTCCCTCTGGCCAGGTTTCTGAGCTGCTATGAGGATCTTGGCTACTTCTTTTGCTCTATCTCTGGGTCATCTCTGTTCACGTAAACTTTCTGAGCAATTTCTAACAGTCTGCTTAGGTTTTCTCCTTCAAAACCTTCAATCTTCTGTAGTTTCTTCCTAATATCTGATGTCGCCTGTGTGACAAAGGCAATATTGACAAGCCTGCGATTTTCTGGCGCTTGGGGGTCTAGGGGGGTATATACCCAGTAAGCCTCTAGAAGCCTCTCTAAATAGGCTGCTGGGGATTCCTCTCTCCCTTGGGTGACCTCACTTACCTTACTGAAATTGGTTGGCTTTCTGGCTGCTGCTCGTACCCCCCTCAGAAGAGCTCGGCGATACTGGAGTAGAGCTTCCCTCCCCGCACTTGAATTTGGGTCCCAGTCCGGAGGCTGGTTGGGGAGTACATCCCCAACCCCCCTCCGGCTTCCTCCCTTATGGCCTTTTCTGCCTCTCGAAGGATTCTCTCTCTCTCTTCAGAGGTGAAGAGAGTCTGGAGTATCTGTTGGCAGTCATCCCATGTAGGCTAGTGGGTCCTAAAAACGGTCTCTAGGAGGGAGATTAAGCCCTGGGGCTTTTCAGAGAACAGGGGATTCTGAAGTTTCCAATTATATAAATCACTGGTGGAAAAAGGGACATAGACTAGACGAGGGGGAGTGAAGGCCGGGGCATCAGGACCCAGAGGCACCTCCCGGAGGGGCAAAGCGGCGGCGCCTCCCACTGAGGGAGACAAAGCGGCGGCGCCTCCCACTGAGGGAGACAAAGCGGCGGCGCCTCCCACCGAGGGAGGCAATCCATACATGGTTCCCCCCCTGGTGTGCAGGGGACTCATTAATCCCTCCCCGGTAGTGGAGTCCGGTTGCGGGGCAGGATTGTACGGCGGCCGGGCAGTAGGGGCAAGTAAAGAATCCTCCGGTTGCTCTGGCAGCACCGGGTATAAGCGGGGCTTCCCCTCCTCCCTTTCCCTTGGAGGAGTTTTCTCCCCCCTCCTGGCCTTGGCCTGGCTGCTACACAGACGCTCCGCCGCATCCTATTCCTGCCTGACTGACAACGGCGTATGTACCCCGGCCGCTCGGTAGCTATATCTACCCATACATCTATATAAATCATCTGATCTGGATGGGGCACTCTGGAAACTACCCCTTGAACGGCATAGAGAAGGGGGAGGTTAAAGGTCCCTTCAGAGGGCCATCCTACGTCAAA